GATTTATGTACTTTCTGTGACAATGATAACCCGAATCATTAACCCATTTGTTCCATCATTGCTCAAGTTCTTGACAGTTTTGGATTGAATTTGAATTATATTGTGCCTTATTTCGAATCAACGAATTCGTCTCTGCTTAGAAAATGTGCCCATTGGAATTTTGACGGAAAATGCTTGCCTTTACTTGAATTGCTGAACTATTTTATAATTATTGGAAAACTGTATTTGTGGGACTGTAGGGGCTAACAAACATTTTTTCCAAACATTTATGGATTTAGGGCGAAGATCATCGCTAAATATGAACCAGAAGGAAAAATCATCAACAAAGAATTCTTTAAAAAAAAGTGGATACTGACGCCTAAGTAAACTGTCTTAACTCCGTATAATTTCATTGCCCTGTTGTACTTTTTTTCTAATTTCTTTTAGCCCTGGAAGAATTTAACAATTAATTTTGCTTTACTCTGTTAGTGTCTATTGTTAAAATGCTTTTTTGTGGTTTTGTAAATGTAATTATTTCTTGTGATTATCAATAAATATATTAAAAAAAAAAAATGACGGGCACAAGGCTATAAAAACAAGGTGTCAATCTACGCACCTTCACTACCTACTGTGACTCATGTACTACAGCTGGAGTGAACTGTATTGCTCCCCCCTCCCCCAACCCAACCAAGAAAATGCGTAGACTGTAGGATAACAACTGACGAACTCACCTTAAAACAGACTAGCAAAACCACGGCTAAAGTATGTCATTACAGTACTCCTCGCCTGCGAGGAAGCTCTCCGGGGCGCTCTGGCAGCGGGGCGGGAAAAGGATAGCTTCCCACGCAGACGTTCTTAGGGGTTCGTCACGCGTTCCTGTCCCACGTGGGGCAGGAACGCGTGGCGAACCCCTAAGAATGTCTGCGTGGTAGGCTAGGAAAAGGAAGGACGAGCGCGAATGTAAACAAACATTGAAAAACACGTGCCAAGGGTAATGACGTCATTACTAATGTCATCTCTGCCAATCAGCGTTTCGCATCGACTTTTTCGATGCAGATATTCAAATTCCAGAGACGTATTTGCAAGCTCCCTAGAGCGCCCCGGAGAGCTTGCTCGCAGGCTACATTACTCCTTGATCAAAAAATCCTTTTTGTGAATGAAGTCGTAGCAAAGAGTTGTGTCTGCTACAGAAAGATCATTTATCATGATAAGGAACAGTCAGGTACTTAGTTTCGTCCCCTGTGGGACCCCTTGAGGAACAGCTTCCCACTCCGAGAAGCAATCGCGGCTCAGTTTTATCCTTTGCTTACGGTCCATTAAAAAGTCTATTATCCCGCACGAAATCGACCTTGGAATATCATAGGAGGAGAGCTTCGACGCTAGAACATGATGGTCAATCAAATCAAATGCTTTCCGGAAGTCAAAGAGTAAAACTCTCGTAGTCGATCCATTTCCATCCGTTGACTTCGCCCAAGAGTGAATCATACTAATTAATGCATGCGTGATGCTGGATTTGGGCATCGTTCCAAATTGCTGTGAGTCGATCTTTGAGAGGACAGCAGGCTTGACATTAGTGTCGACAACGTACTCTTCCGCTATCTTTGACAGGATTGGTGTCTGGGAGATGGGTCGAAGGTATTTGTTTATGTCCTGCACAGGTCTTTGCTTGGGCACCGGCACAACATCTGCTTCTTTCCAGGAGGGTGGGAGACGTCCTTCGCGATAAGATGAATTGAGAATATCTGCTATCGACGCCGCCAGTAAATCTGCATTTTCTTTCAATACCCACCCCGGGATGCCATCAGGACCATGCGCTTGGTTTCTGTTCAGTTTCATCAATTTCTTATAAACCGACTCGTTTGATACAACAAGCGCAGGTTGTTGGGTTGCGCTGTTAGTGGGAAGTAATTTAAGAAGCTTTCAATACTTAAGTGCCAGAAGCAATTTCTGTGCATTCTATTTCTTACAATGTTCTTAACATTCATATATTTATGTCATTAGTTCCATACTTAATAATCCGAAAGCCGTTCCGCCCCTAAGTAACCGCCAGCTCCTAATGAGAGCCGCATTTGTAGTAAAAATATCACAAAGCGCCGGATCCTGTCGATGCAGCAGTTGTGGTTTTTGATATGGCTAATGCTGAAATGTTAATACCACTGATATTGTTATTGGTGTTATTACATTTCTTTAGATCTGGAAAGAAACACGGACCTTTTATGTAACTTACTTTTATTGCGTCTTTTCTATATTGTATCGTTTTTTTTAATCAAAGTAATAAAAAAGGGAAAATTACTTGGCACAGCCTCCCAAGCAGATGTTGTTAGGGTTCACGTGTTCCTTCTCCACAAACTTTTGGGGAGGATTGCGTGACGAGCCAAATTTGCAAATAGGTAGTTCTAAATAAGCACCGCACTCAAGTAGGCCCCCTTGGGCGCTTGTCGAATTCTTCCACTCTTCGGTGGTGCTCTTAGCTTTCGAGTAAACTTGTACGGTTTCTAATAGTTTCCTTTTTTCCTACCAGGTGTCAATTCAATAGGATATTCTAGGTCCTACCCAGTTTCCAAGTCGACTATTAAAGACCAACGGTTTGGAGACGTCTTGCTAGACCTTTTCGCCTTCTCAGCCCCTAAAACCACTTGATTCCAAAACATCTGCTACTCTGGCCATTGCTTTTACTTTACGCATCAATAACTGGACCAGGAAGTCTGTTCAAGTATCATTTATGTTAAATCTGCCTCTAGGTACGTATACAGCCTGACACAGTAAGACTTGGGAGCCCGGACAAAACCATCAAAAGTACGAATGTTCGTCAGTGCTTTGGGGCTTGTATTGATGACAAACAATGCATGTCGTGGCAAATGGCCAAAGAAAACAAGACATGTCAGTTGTTCTATCAGGTAACTCCTCATGCTTGGCATACAGGGTCTATTTCCTGTCAGCAGAGCACGTGGACAGCTCATGAGTCAATGCTAACGCTCAACGGGTCTGGGAACTATCCTCAAAGTGCAACACAACTATTGCTACAGGCGGCAAGCGAGTAAGCCCTTTATTTATGGTCAGTGACAGTTTTGAACAAATTTGCAAGCAATTTGAGGAACATGGCTATTTTGTGTCAATATCTAAAACATTTGGGAGCGGTTTTCATGGCGCTACAGCTGTGAACGTTACCGTGGAGCCTGGGAAAGAGAGTTCTATCCCAACAGAGATTTCACAGGCATCCTTTACATTAACAATTATAGTTCCGCATTATGTTTAAAACGCACCATCAGAGAGAATCGTAAATTTATACAGCGTAGATCCTAACGAAACCATTTCAACAGCAAAATATGAAAATAGCTTTTGGGGCGAAGAGGTTGAATTGACAAATGTAGTGAAGCCGTTTAACTGCCTGTTTTCTTCAGGAAGTGGGCGACGACGGAATTAATTTCTTTATAAGGTAGACTGCTTTGCGAACCAGAATTAGAAATGAAGTCGTAGCAGATACTCTCCAAGCAGGGTCTGCTGGAAGTTTTCGGGAGATTACTATCTAAGGCTAAAACCGTCCCAGTGACTGACTCGAAACAGTCTATAATGGCGTTTAATAAGACTCAGTGTCCCATTACAGAGAGCAAAAATAAACCCTCCGCATAATCAAAAAAGCAACCTTTCTTATTTTTTCATGTCCTGTTCATAGCGGAGATTTTTGGTAATTACTATAGTAACCTATTCAAGTAGTAATTACTATAGTAACCTATTACGTAATTTGTCCCCTACTCTACAGGCTATTTCTGCGTGGCACGCTTCTATGATAATCGACAGCAACAGAAAGTCGGTCCTGACCCGCCCGGTGTGGTTACAAGATGTCTTGGAAAACGGGTTAAGTTTCTGGCGAAGTGGCCTCTACCGTTGTGACGGAAGATTGCGGCAGTTTGAGTCTTTAGATTGTATTGATATTGATTCAGCTCATAACGACTTTCAGGGAGAGGTTCCTTATGTTTTGTTCTACCCTGACTTGGTTGAGAATGTAATGCGTGCTTGTGCAAAGTACCAGAGTGATGACGGCCATATTGTGGAAACTCTAGCTGCTGGATGTTGTTCCCTTACTGGAAAAATAGAAAGGTGCGTTTATGTAGCCTGAGAAAACAGTCGTTATTTCGCGACGCAACCGGTGTTTTCCCCTCAAAATGACGTCTGAGGCGGGAACGAGCCCAGAAATTCCATACCGATGACGTTTCACTGTCCAGATCTGGGTAGTGCTTCTGACTGGTTGGAAATTAGCTTTATCCAATCAGAAGGCGAAGAACTACCCAGATCTGGTTAATGACACGTCATCAGCGTGGAATTTCTGGGCTCATTTCTCAGACGTCATTTCGAGGGGAAACCAGTGGTGGCGTCACGGAATGTCGGGCGGTTTTTTCAGGTTAGTCTATATTTTTCTGTTACAGACACATTCCCTTTTCGTTCCAAACAGGACAATTTCACAAACGCATCATTGTATTTAAGTGATTTGCCGTTTTCTTTGTCATGATTTGCACAAGAAATTAAAAGACTGAATGATTCTGTTAGTTCGAGTCGACTGGAATGCTTGGCTAGATGGAGACAAAACCTTTGATACTGAAATTTCTATTGTACAGCCCTGTAGAGCAGCCTATTAACATCGAATATCAAGAGTCAGAATGGTGAAAAGTTGTACCATACCTTGTTTATGGCCGCAACAAATCACGTTTCAAATTCATTATGGTAGCTTATGGGAAAGTTAAAATGGAAAATGGGTCATTTTAAACCTGTTTGATCTGTCAGCAAAAAAAAATCTTTCGAATAATATTGACTTGGCATTTTTCTCTTCTAAGGTGGTCCTCCAAATCAGCGAATTATGGTCGATGTCACTACGGTCTTCATAACAGAAGCCTACCATATTTATCTGTAGACCAACAACAGCGTTTTTTTAAAAGACATGTGGCCGCACGTGGTTAAGGCGATTGCTTGGATGATTGACGGAGGCACAAAAGGGACCGGTTTACCTTACAGACTACAGTGTACATATGATCAGCTCTTTCTCAATTTATACGATCACAATACCTTTAGTCCTTGCTCTTCGAGCGGCAGAGGAGCTGTGCAAGATAATGAACCACTCGGATTTGTTGAAGGAAGTTTCGACAGCACTGGAAATCGCAAAATATCGAATATCAGAAGAATTATGGAGCGAAGAGGATGGATATTACCACGCTTGGTGGGATAAGGAGAAAGGTTCACCATCCTGGCTGATGAGTGATTTACTGTACGCTCAAGTCTGGGCCTACACTCTGGGGCTAGGACACTTGGAAGATCCAATAAGGTGAGGATGAAACTTCGGGCTTCAGGATAACCTCAGTTTTACTTCCGGGGTTTAAGTTCAGGGTAACGATCACAATTTTTTTGCGCTTTTCTTAACATTTGCTTGACTACACTGAGCGGCGAAGGTTTGATGACCTAAAAATGATTAGGTACTGTTACTAAATGTCCTAATGACTAATTTGGCACCTTTTTCATTCTCATAGTAAAGCCATTTCCATTACGCTGCATAAAGCACAATAATTTTAGTCACAACAGTTCAGAAGACACCACGTACTACTACTACTACTACTACTACTACTACTACTACTACTACTACTACTACTACTACTACTACTAACACTGTAAAAGGTTATTACGTCTCTCTCCTTTATAAAGTTATTGTTGTACTATAGGGCCATTGAAGGAAACGCATTTTATTAATTCCTTCCCTGTACAGGCTCAGATCTCATTTGACGAAAGAACTTGAAATCAACGATACGCTATATGGTCTCCGGGTGATTGCTACTGACCATCCAACTAACAAGAGCGTGGGCTCATGTCCCAAGGATATCAGTACTAAGAATTTAAACGATTTGGTGGCGCTACACGAGTCAATCTGGATGGGTGCCAGCCCTGACTGGACGACTCTTCAACTTCATTTGGGTAAGCTTGCCAGCAAGAACAGGGTCGTCTTGCTTGTTTCGGTTTCTGCCTAGCACATCATTGACATGGAAGTTGATTATCCCATGGGGGTAACCACTTTGAAAAAGACGTTCGAGAATAGTAGGTTACAATTAGCCAGCTAGAAGACTTGACACGTTAACCTGAATAAATTGGTCTTTGGTTCATTCGTTCGTTCATTCATGTAAGAATGTAGGTTCATGCATGAAACGTAATGTAGGTAAACGCCATCCATTGCGCGCGGTTATGGAGGAATGTAGCCTGTTCCAGGCGTTCCCAGTCCTCCCTCGTTTTCCCCAAATACATCATCAGATTACGGTAATAATGTTGCTATACCCTCAAACTTTTCCAACCTCCCTTGAGAAAAAATTCAATTTGATTTCACAGCTCGAGCTTATCGCCTCTCCATCGGCTAAGCGAGGTTGAAAAGAGAGCTTGCCACACCTAAAAAAGGTTCTCACCCAGTAAAGCTCAGTGATGATCGTTTAACAGTGACTACACAGTGTTTCTCTGAATTACTTCTAGTCATTGAAAATAGTCTGAAAAATTATTTCCCCGCAGTTGATGTATTTCCTCCCTGTCCCACTAAGAGAAGACGAAGCGTTTCTTTCATGACAGATTTCGAGGACATATTACAGTGCACCTCTCTCTTTACAGACACTTCTAGACGATTGACATCTAAAAGAGGACAGTAAAGGTTTTTCCCCGCACTTCTTCAGTTATATTCTTTGACTCTCTCAAAGGCGAAAAGCTCTGTAAGACGGATACTCGGTGACGGTTCAAACGGTGCTCTTCTTAGGGAGAGTTGACTGTAGTAACTCTTGAGTGCAAGCTAATGCAAATCTTGAAACAATCTTATTTCAGGTTTGGACCCTCAGAAGGCGTTACTACAAGCTGAGAAAGCCATAGAACACGTTGGTTCATAGCTGAATGACGAATGGGATTTTCACGGACTTTACTGGGGGACTGGGTACAGACTTGATGGTCTCCCATGGTGCACCTCGCAGTATGCCTTTCACATGGTACTATGGCACATTCCTTTTGCGATCTCGGGCCAGTCCTTCTCGGCGCCAGAAGCAACACTTTCATTTGAACCTAAGCTCTCTTGTCCGTATAACGTTCCCTTCTATACATCGTTTGCTTCGGGGACTTTGCAATGTACCTTTGTCCAAAAACGAAATCAAACCAAAATGAAGTTTCAAATTATGTCGACCTCAGGTGAGATGTTTCTTCAACAGCTTGCGGTCAGCGGCTTTCGACATCCAAGTGCACTAACGCTGAAACAGGGTGAAGTAGTCACGTTGTTTTCACATTAATTTCCAAGGGTGCTTCCGTTTGAATTGCCTTTCTTTACAACTGATTGATGAGTTGTAATTTATTGCACGAGAAATTCGTCTAGTCTCAATTGATACGGGAGTGTAATAAAAAACTAACAAGGATTGCCATCTAAGAATTATGGGGATCAACTTAATAATGAGGGTGGCCGGGAGTCGTCATTTATAGTGTTAAAATGATCTTACCCTATGGTATATTCCAAAGTAATTTACATGGTCAATGGGGTGAAACTGAACAATGTCAAATTCCCAAAAGGCTATATTCAAATTTTCTACGATTGTCTCTTTCTTGCCATCTGTTTAGGGCATAAGAGTTTGCAAGAAATCATTAATTCATTAGTTTTTTGCTCTGTTTATTTCAATTCCAGTAAACTTACGAAGGTGAAACAATTTTATTTTCTATGCACAATATAAAACAGATTAATAATTAGCAGGTTTAGGGGAACGAGAACAGTCGTTCTAGTACAATAAACCAAACAACTACGTTCTTAATTTGTGAAACTAATAGTTAACAGCCAAAAATTAAGTAACTTGACATAATTGACTTTTAAAAGAATTCTAAATTCTAGTTTGAATTCTCAGCAGGGATTTTCAATTCGAGCCCGTAAAACTGAACAAGTCAGTAATTGACAAGTAGATGAGATTCGCAATTCCTTTCATTTTTCTTCCATATAAATACGCAAATTTATTTTCTTGCAAATTTTTTTTCTACGATTTAAATGCGCTTTATTAGTAACATTTTCTCTACCATTGGGTAAGAAATGGTACAAATGACCACTTTTCTATTTGAATTTTTTTTAGCAGTTCCTTCCTTAATACTAAGATAACTAATTTGGAGAGGTTTTGGGCATGCAGCGAAGCGTGAAAAAAAAAATCTAAAAATTCTATGGGTGCATATTTGAATTATAGGAAAGTATCTCGAGTAAAAACCGTTAATGATGATGATGTTCGAAGAATATAAGAAACCAATAAATGACAAGGGTACGCATCCTGCAACTCACTCTTGACAATTGCATTTGATCAGTGACAGATCCAAAGGGAGGAGAGGGAAGGGGACGATACCTGTTTTACCAGCTACGTTTTGTTCATTTCTAGTCCTAGTAAATACTGTAACTAACCATGTACTGGGAAGGGTCATTACTTACACTACAGTTAATGTAAGAAAACCGATTATCGAGGAAATGTTGTGAATTAAATTGACATTATAATTCAAGCGTTAGCAGCGTCTCGCTTGTCGTGATAATTGTCACACAGTTCAACAGAGGTTCTCCAAGCATTGATCACGTGCTTTAGCTGCACTTCCGATGGCAATGCGTCCAGTCCTGGAACTGGTTCATGTCCTTTGTTGTCAAGATGCCACTCGATGTATTCAACCAGGCTGAATAAAAGGAGACACAGCCGTTGTAAGATGATACGCAAATTATCCAGGTCATATTTAACCACTAGGGAGTGGGTTGGAACACAAGCCGAGTTTTGTAAACTGAACTATATCAGGTAAAATATTTCTCTGAATCTTTGGTTTAGCTTCGTAATATGATCAACAATAGTAGTTAGGGGAGGGAGGGGGAGCAGCGTGGACGTTGGACTTGCAATCCAGAGGTCCTAGGGTTGAGTACATCTCTGACCACTATCAAGACTTGCTTCTCGACAGTCCAACACAAAACACCGAGTTCATGCTGGTAAATAGCCAACTACAGTTAAACATTCCACAGATGACTACGTCAACCATAGATATACTAGTCGTAATAGAAGCAATCTCTCCAAAGTTACCTCATTTCTTCTTCTCCGGGGACTGCATCACCTCTTAAGTTTAGCAAAATAAGTTCCAGGACCTCACAGACAAACCGATCCAAGTCAATCCTTCTCATCCCACTGCTAAACTTCATCAGCTGAGGTCGGGACATGACCTGTTTGTATTTGTCCGAAATCTGCTCAAACGGATCCTGCAAAGGCAATAACACTGAAAGTTAAGTCTTACTTTAAGCATTGCTGTTTACACATCTCTTACAGGATTACAGTACTTAGATCAACAACTGAAAAAAACTTAAATCAATCGTGGTGTGCTAGGCAAGTGTAAGTAAGCTCTCTATTTCGAGTAACGAGCGAGGCGAGTTGCAAGAGATTGCGTGGGCGAGTGGCAAAGCCCCGTGCCCTCGCGCCCTTTTTCGCTACCCGCTCGCCCGCGACTCCAAGCAATATTCCCCAAATACAGAGCTTGTTCTGAGCTACTTTGGGTCTGATATCGTATGTATATACAGTCTTGGAGGTCTGATTGGTTTAATTGCCTATTTGCGTTTGTTTCGATTGCACGGAGTAACTACTTTCTCGTTTATTATACGACACCGAAGTAAGAAGTCGCTTTTAAGTCTCCTTGTTTTTAATTTTGTTTTGATGAGAAAGTTGATAATTCCTCAGCTGAATGTTGTTACGAAGTCTTTGCGAATGTCGTGCAAAGGTTAAATGTAAGTTAAAAATGGAAATATAAAATGTTCCTTACCTCGCCTCGCCTTATAAGAATTCTGGCTCTCTCAAGGGTGAGAAGTCGCCAGAGAGAGATCACGTGACGTAACTGACAGTACTGCTGGGCCTGAAAGGGAAAATAGAAGAAAAAAGACACGTAGAATGTATTGGATTCAACCCAGGAGGAATCTGTTGGCAGCAGAATACCCAGAACCCATTCGAAAGGGAAAGGGGAAGAGGAAAATCGGGCACACAAACGCGAAGGTTGCTGCAAAAGTCAATTCTTTACTGTACAAACTTAACTTGAGTTGTAGCTACAACTTATACCTTCAAACTCCGTAGAGTGTTTTGTTGCATTCGTAGCACCCCTCCTAGATAGTTACTGAGGAGCCTTTCAGGGGCTCCCCCAGTGGAAGATAGAAAACCGATGGCAATTTCCAAAGATGACAGCACGTCACAGATGTCAGTCAGGGAGCGAAACTCGCTTATGACCTGACGGCTTACTGCTGAACTCAGAGGAACCTGAGAAAAGACAAAAATATATCCGTAGTTTAATTGAATCTCACAGTTCTTTAGAGTGCCTCTGTGCGACTGGTCATGGATATTATGACAATTAGCGCTGATGCATTGACTACATTCAAGTCTTAACATATTCGAAGATGAAGGTGCCTCCTTCGCTTCCGATAACTGCAAAAAAATTGAGTACTCAAGTGACTATAAATCTACTTTACAATCGAGGCATGTGTCACGCGGGGTAACCGTTTCTCGTACAATTAATTTCAATGTCGTTATACTCCTTGAGGCTAGTCTGCAGGTTAGCTCTAGTACACTAATAAGAATGGTTTTACCTGAGGAACCATAGCCTTTACAGCAGCAAAGACAGAGTCTAGTTGGATATCTTTACTGAATGCAAACCTCTCATCCTACAATAACAATTGAACAAATTGGGCTTTTAAAATCAAGTATAATAAATAGAAAATGGATCAGCAACAATGAACGCTTAACACTACACTCTTCTTTGAAGAGTAAATGAGAGTAATTACGGGACCGTGGAAACCTTTTTTGGAAAATATATACATGTGTGAGTCATTAACTTACTAAATAAATATATAAGTAGTGAGTAAAGAGAGAAATCTGACGAAACACTTTGACCGATATGCCAGCGTGCCACACTTGCACACTTGAGGTCCCAAAATAGTCTCCTCCGACTATTTTGAAAACTAGAGGGAGGGGGTATCACGGCTCCGAAAGTCCAACCCCTTTTTTCTCTTGGTACATAGATTTACTGACGAGCAGCTATGTATACTGAGTGAAAGTCTTCAATAGCTCTCGTGAACATTCACCGTGACTGTGATGCTGTCATTGTCAATTTTTCCTTTCTTTTCTTTTTATTCGCTAATCTCTCGTCGACAGTTTCAGCAATGAGAATCCTACGAAAAACGTAAAAGAAATTGTTCTTCTACGGGGAACTTACGCAATCTATCTTAATTGCTGTATAATTCAGCTTTCTAATAGCTTGAGTGACTAATTTTAGGCAAAACGGTTGAATAGGCCTTTGTAGAGTTGTTTGACGGCAGCGGTAACGAATGCCTCTGGCGCAGTTTTTTACAATGTGGAACGTTTCAGTGTTGTTCTTTACAAAATGTGGTTTGACAACCCGATCGAAAATGATTAAATTTAAGGATTTATAGGGAACGTAAACACTCAAAGGTGTTTACGTCAATGATTATGGGGAAAATTAGTACACAGAGATTTCTCGATATAAACTCAACAATCGTCCGTCAATGGATTGGTCTCCCAAATCTTTCAATCTAAATTTTACGTGGAAATTCCACAGTCCACAGTTTACCTTGAAATCAACAAGAGGTTTTCTCCTGATGAACCTGTCAATCAGCTGTCTTTCCAGTGCGTCCCAGTTGTACTGTACCAACGTTCCCCGACCCACCTCCAGAGAGTAGTTGCATTGAGCCAGGATGAGCGGAAGTAGATCTCTGTCAGTGTCATAAGCAATCAGTTGTGATGTGGTTACGTCTTGTAGCTGTATGTGAGGCAGGTCCCTAGAGATCAAAAAGGACAAATGGTGTTAGTATACGTACTGACCGCAAAAATATTCAAACATTTACCTGTTTCTCGGCACGGTTCCAGGATGTAAACTTTGTTTTTTATTGTAGATACTTGACATCTATCTAGCAATAATTTTTTTTACGTATTATTACATTTCTTCTGTTCAGTTTTAGTTAGAAATTCGGTTATTTTGTCTTTGGATAGCCCTGAACGCTATTTTCCTTTAGTTCAGTATGGCATAAACAACTTTCGCTGCCATGCCATACAGCTCTACACAACTGAGGCAGCTACTGCGTGGAAACGAGGCTGCTAGCAATATACCATAGTATCGATGGGTTATTTACGTTATTGACTACATTTTTCAAATATGGTTAGCACCGGCTGGTTATGAGGGAGGATTGGAGCCAATCAGAAACGGGGAAATATTTTGAATAAACAGTATTAGTATTAAGTAATAGCATGATTTGTAGTGATATTTGGCATAAATACCACGAGTGATATTTCGAAATTGTTATACGTAATTTCACGAGCCGTTAGGCGAGTGAATTTGAGACATTTTGAAATATCGCAAGTGGTATTTATGCCAAATATCACGTACAAATCATGCTATTATTTGTTTACCCTACTACCCACAAAAGGTTTGTAATAATTTTCACAGGTAGGTATTTCAAGCCAATCAAATTTGCAGAAATTTCTCATGTAGTAGTATAAAATTGAAAAATATAACAGCCCCAGAGGAGAGGGAGGATGAGTAAAAAGAAAGATACTTACTTGACTTCTCCGCCGGTCAAATTCTGGTACCGTTCGTTAAACTCGTTATGCAACATGGTGAGAAAAAATACCAGAGCCATGGAGCAGATGCCCAACCCAGACGTACTGGGCAACAGTACTGCAAGAGGACGCGAGTTATCCATGGACTTCTCGCATAAATCACTTGAAGGACGAAGGCGCCCTGTTTAAATAAAAGGATTGGTTAGTGTTAGATCCCGGAGTTACTCCTGGGAATTCTAGGTAGGGGTGTACCAGTCGGATCTCCAAATCCTGACCCTATTTCAGACCAAAAAATGTCATTTTTCACACCCGTTTTCAGACCTGGCCTCTAAAATCCATTCCCATTCTCAGAACTGGCCTTTAAGAAATTATGTCATCATTACTTAGATTAGAGCAGTAACAAAAAGATTTCTTAAAATCCGTTTCGGATTGGTATATTTCTCTTTCTTTCTTACTCATTTGGGATTGAAACAATAAATACGTTCGTACACTGCCGTAGTTCTCTTAAAAACCATACCCGATTCCAGACCAAAATGAGCAGTCTATAATCCGTTTTCAGACCAAAACGGTGCAAAATCCCCACCCTTTGGGGTGGCACATACCCTTTAATTTTCTTCGTCTAAAAATTCGCGAGTCGAAACTGTCCAATATAATTTATATTGACAGTTGTCCCTTGTAAAGGATCTCTAAAATAAAACTTAATCTTCATAGCGCAAAGATAAAATCATCATCTTCCCGTTGTTTAAAACGAGCAAGTTCTTCTTGAAAAAAAACATCGACGCTAGCTTCTTGCGAGGGATATTAGATGGTTAAATAACAAATCTAACTCGCTCCTGCAATTCACAAAATTGTGATTTACTAGAAAGTAAGGCAGACTGACAGGTCTAGGAGACATACCTTGCTGGTCAAGACTCAGTCTGACGTGATTCCACGCATTGTTAAAACTCATTATCAGGGAGGTGAGTTCATCTTTAGTTGTTTCTGTGGAGAATATTACGAATTAAAACCAAACAATTGATTTTAACGTAGCCTGCATAGCTGGCGGAATTGTGTAGTAGTCGAGTGAGTTTTGGCGGCGAGAAATAGAAATGGAAATAGAAATATTTTAAACTCCTCGTCCCACTCCCTTTTCTGGATCACGGCTCCGCCGCCAAAACTTTAATCGCGCACCGAGACAATAACGCCAGCTGGGAAGGCTAATTTTGGCCCGATTTTATTGGCTATTTTTGGTCACATGGTAACAGAAAGGAGCACGGGTATCACGTGATACAACCCACGATTTTTCTGTCGCAGGAAACCATGACAAAGTTTTCATTTTTTACTGTCTTAATTCAAATTGAATCAGAAAAACCAAACTCATGCTGTTCATACAAATACAAGAGAATCAACATAATATTCTATGCTGTTATGTTTTTGAAGCTTAACAAAAGGTTATCTGCATGGACAATTTATCCGAACAGTTTCATAACATGAAGCCCTCTCTGTTCTAAAATGGCGCAGTGGAAAATGTCTTTTCACATACTGCCGTAATTCGAGAACCCATGAGGTATCACTTAAATCATGATGAAATACTTTGTCACGTGTAAACAATAGATTCATATCGTTAATAGAAAGTAACAAAATACTCAGGTAATAAGTTTGTTACCACGCATTAAATCTGAATAAAAACTTTTAAAGCATCATCAACCGATGTTTTCTTTGTGATACAAACTAGCCCTTCGAACCCTGAGGCATGGCTTTTATATAATACAAAGGAAATCCAAAGAAAATAGTCAAATGAAGACAGTTCTGTTGAAATCTAAAACATAAAAGAAAGTATTTTGTTCCTTGTTTCTATCCACAGTGATTATAGTTAGTTACCAGGCATTTATTGTTGGGTAATCTCATATTCGGACAAAAACCTTACTAGAAGGAATCTTCTGTAGGAAATTTCGAATTGTGATATGCTCTGCTTCTGCCCTGTCGATTCTGCGATGGAATTTTTCCATGAGAAGACGCTGTAGCTTAATGATATCTGGCAAAAAGCGGAGGGCACGGAGATTGTGTTCCTAAAAAAGAGGACAAAGGAGATGATCATAATTTCTACGTCTTGTATTACACTAATAGATATCCATTACCCGCGAGTACAAAAGTACATAGTTTATTGAAAAGGGCTTAAATTGATTCGAAGGGGCGTAGACAGTTGGGCAGTATTTTTATTGCGGCCTGTGAACAAGGTCTATAGTGGGTTACAGGACAAAGAAAAAGCTAGCTCCCTCGGGGGACTGTTCACAGACTGCACACACTGTTATTTACTTATTACTTTGCAGCCGCTGATTTCAATGACAAAATCGTATGGTGTTAGCAAACCAATTAAGTACAGGGGCCATGTCACTCTATTTGCCATAAAACGCTAAAACTTGTCTTAGCATCAATTGAATTCCAAAAATAATGGTCCCGATTAAGATTTAGGAAAAGGAACTTTTTCCTGTTATCCTTTGTAACTGATGGCAAGGATGGTGAAACTCAATTTTCAATGCTATGCCTGCATAAATCACCCGAAAATTATTGTGGTTTAATAGTGCTCCCTGGTGACACTTATTCGGTATCTTCTTCATAACTCCTCAGGATGTCATTTTTTATAAAGCAGTGTATGGGAAAACTTGATGCTCTCTTAAATAAAATATTGCTCCCTGATGACACTTATTCTTTTTCTTCATAACTCCTCAGCATTTTGACCCAAGACAAATAAAACTAGCCTGGTAACAAACAGCTCCTTAAATGCAACCTAAATGCAACCTGCACTCACCTGTCGTAAAAACTCCGCTAACACTTTGTTCCTCTCGGGATCGGTGGAGGCCACCTCTTGTTGAAATGTGTGAGACAAGTGATCAAGAGTCACCTGAGTTCGATATCTCCACAGTGCGGGACACGTAGGAGAGATACTCACAGACAGATCATCAGGTGTGATGTCTACCTCATATAGCTGGCGCATCAGAGGGTTGTTGCCTGAAAGAATTGGAATGATAAATTTAACGTAATGGGGTTTTCTGCTTTTCAAAACTACACGACGCGGAAAGCACATCATGTTTTCTATAAGGACAAAACGGATTTAAATAACACAGTTAATGAAAATGTAAATTAACTGAAAAAACTGAAGTAGATATTAACGTACACAAAGACCCGGTTAAATTTTTCTGACCCACGAGATTCCAGTTACCGTTTGGAGGCTCTAGCTACTGAGCTATGAGTGACTCATATAGTGAGCGTGAGGTGCAATTGAGGTACTCAGAATTTCGCATGTAACGAGTACAGTGGACACTAATCAAAGGCAAAACACTCACTAAATTACCTGTATCTCGAAAGCAAATTAAATAAGAGTTGTGTCAGTTATAGATTTAGTGATCGCATTGGGTGGTTGAATCACTAAATCTATTAAGTGTTTACAACTCTTAGTTTAGGTGCTTACGATATGCAGGTCTTTAGCTTTGCTTTGATAAGTGACCTGTGTCCTCTTGAGATGCTGTACATCCTGCTCACTATATGAGTCACCCATAGCTCAGTGGGTAGAGTCGTCAAAAGGTGATTGGAGGGTCGTGAGATCGATTCCTGCTAGGGGGCTTGGTTTTTTTCCGAGCATTCCTTCGTGTACTTTAATGTGTACTTCAGTCTCGTCGCATTGGGTGGTTAGTTGGTTCTCTAAAATTATTAACTAAAAGCAAAAATATAGACAAATACATAAATAAATAATGTACACTTTGAAATAACAGTAAAAACTTACCCAGTCGATTGTCTCCAACCATCATTTCCAAGCAATTTTGGATCTTTCCCTCGAGGTTCTTAAGAAGTGAGAATCAAATTAGAAAATCCAAAAGCATCAAAATGATATCATTATTAATTATATTATTATTATAAAGTAAAGTCCGCATACCGTAAGCACTGGAGCCACCACACTGTTGCTGAAAGCTGTTTCCCATTTTCTTCGAGAATCTTTGGACCTAAAATCAGGGGCGACATTCACGACTGGTTGTCCTAAAATAAAAGCGAGAGATCTGAAAACGGGTAAAAGATGTCCTCGTGTGAAGCGAACGCCTTTCTTGCATGACACATAGACACTTGACCTGTAGGAAGCTCTAAAGTTTATTTTCTATTAACTCAAGTTGATTAAAATAAGAAGTGGTTATTTCTTCTCTTTGCCATGCACTTTTCAAATGTCGCTGGATTTTTTCGTTATCCCCTCGTCTCTCCCAAGAATGCTATGGATTCAGTGATGCCCCCTCCATCTTTCAAAGACTGGTGATACAAAGACGATCATGTCATCAAGTGTCAGAACGTTTTTTAAAAAAATCTCACCAGAACTACTCAGGGAACACGGGTTCATAGCGGGTTAATAAATTCAACGGATCTCGTTAGTATTTTTAAAAAGTCTAGTCAGTTAAGAATTTAAATATTTCAGTTACCCATATTATTTATATGTTTCTGTACACTTTTAACACAAATAACATGGACATGTGGAATCTTTAAGCTAATTCCGAATAGATCCGCGTAAGTGCGAACACCTGTAGGCAACGTAATCATTTATCGCCTTTTTTATTTTGAATTTCCAGTTTAACTTAATTAACACAAGTAACGTTAGGTAACTCCAATTTAAGCACAACACAAAACCCTCTGATCCCTCAGCCATAGTATGGTTGTCATTTTTGGTCGGTGTTTGACTGTGCTTTTCAACTTACGGTTAGAAATAAGCGTGGTCATTTGCACAAGAACCATGTGAACGCAAAGAACTGTATCATCTACACTTCGTCCAAGGCTTTTGGCGAGAAGCTCTAGGTCCATTTGGAGGTGATCCCATAAAAACTGCGCCAAGGCCGCGGGGGGAACTTTGGGTTGGATGAGGGCACCCAAACCCTAAACAGGGACGCAAAACAGGGATAGTGAGAAACAAGTTATCCATTCATGCTATCATAAATATTACAGCTGTCAATGTTTTACCGTCTTCTAGATGACTGGCATTCACATTTGATTTCATTTGATTTTAATTTCTGTAAAAGGGGCCTTGCTTAACTGGGTAATTCTAGCAATATAGTATAAATCAACAACGCTTCGAAAATATATTAATCCAGATACTAAATAACAAAATGCGACAATTGCTTTATTTATTTGTCAGCAGTGACGAGCTAAACGGATTAGTCCAGGAAGGGATTTGAAAGCAACTAAGGAAATAGTCTGCTTGGCCTCTAAAGTTTCAGGGAATTCCATGAGACAGCTTCGAAAATAGAAGCTTGTGTTAGCCTTGTTCAACACTGCCCTTACACCCAAGACATAAAAAGCGACTTTTAATCACCTGTGGTTGGCGGCAGGCTCCTTCTATCATAGCACAATGCATAAGAACCCTTGTGACTCCCACAACTACGGACGAAAGGTTTCGTTCAGGAACCAAACCTTTGGCCCTTTTACTGGGATGCCCAAGAACGTGGCCTGTCATTGTGCGGTCAGCCCTACAGAACAAGAAAAATATACTCGTAAAAAGACCTTTCATGATCAATGTGATGAGTCGATTTGAGCAAACTAATTTCCGATGTGTCTGGTTAACCCACTATATGACAAGAATAATGAGCATCACACTTTATCTCTGAAGGTCAGGATTCTACCCTTAGTTAGCTTGTTGGATTAGCGTTCATCTACCGAGCGAAAGGCAGCGGGTTCAAACCTCGGCCAAACCAACAGACAGGCTCTTTAAATAACTGAGGAGAGAGTGCTGCCTTTGTCATGACATCTGCGAACGGTTGGACTTTCTAGTCTTCTCGGCTAAGGACGATAAACCGTAGACCCTGTCTCACAGCCCTAGCTCACATAAAATTTTCTTGGACGATAAAGAACCCACACACTGTTCGTAAAGAGTAGAGAATGTGGTCCCCGGTGTGGTGGTCTATCTCAACTTCACTTTCAGATCAGGTGGCATTCATAAATCATTGCTTAATCAATTATAAATTGCGCATTAAACAGTCGGGCTAAAGTCCCCCCCCCCCCAGTTTTGCTAGTTATCCATGAAAAGCACCGAAGGGAATGGATACTATAAAATCGTAATGTTCAATTGCAATTACAAAACATCGCGTCGATCTCTTAGCCTACAATCCCGGACAAAACTACTTGAGTGAGTTTTCCCCACCATGTCCACTTTTCTACGCAACAAAACTATTTCCAAAACGACGCCTTTGCGGAAAGAAATCTCCTTCCTCCAGTTCAATGTTGCTTCCTACAAACGCTCAGGAATCAGGCTTTCTTTTGAATACACAACAACATTGCTTTCAGTAGAAGGGGGAGAGGGACGAAGCGATACAGCTTCGATGTTTAGAAACATTTTCCCCAAGTATACAATTTTCTCTACAGTTTTGTCCAAGATTGTAGTCTCAAGTTGTTG